TTAAAATTGCGAATTGCCTCAAATCGGGGCGCGGGTCACTTTTATGAAGATTATTATACGACGCTGACAAGTGATGAATTAAACTCACGTTTTAACCCTAACAAGAACATGCACCCATATAATGAGAATTTGGAGAATAATGAGGAATGGAATTGGCTAATATCCGGCTTGGTACTAGAATGACAAGGATTAACGTGTCCTAAACGACCTAGCTTTAATTGTTAATCCCTATGTTTATTATAAATCGTCCGGCGAGGATGATCGCGTGGGTTAATCTTTATTCTAATTCGGACGCCTCTTGTTAAAATTTAGATTATGCAAACGTCATTTCGATCACTCCTTGATGCGTACTTATCGGTTGCCATTAAAAAAACCGACGCATTCTTCTCTTAGTTAATATTCCACTCACGGTGCCCTTCGTGTATATTACGGCGACACATTTCACTACCAGTTTTAAATATAATGCGTTATGATGTGATTGAATGGGACCACCCACCAGCTGCAAAACTTAGGCACGTGCCCTCTTGAATTGAATTCTGTAGCGAATTAGATCTGCATATGAATGTATCAAGCACTTATTAAATATAAAGCAGATGGAACACTTTCGTGGTTTTTAATTCCTAATCCATTGGCGCTATTGCTTCTTCCATGATAATCTCTCAAATGTCCAGATTCGTTTCTTGTATCCGTTAAAATGCATATAGGCAATAGCAGAATGTAAATTTATCAGACTGCAGCTGTAGTAAATAAATGGTCAAAATTCACACATTTTTATCTAACCATTTACCATGTTGGGGGTGGGGTAGGGGTGTTTACGTTTGCTCCTGAGCACGAGAAAGTGGTAGAAAATGCACAATAACTAACATTGAATCCATTCACCAATGACTCAAAACTGTGGAAATGAAATGCCTCCCGTTAATTAAATTAAAAAACTTTTAGGGCACTTACTTCAGCACAGTTCCTTGTCGAATTTGGAAATTGCTAACTGGTGCATTAAAAGTTAGAGATATAATCGGCGCCGAGTTCGTGCAACATCATTATAAAATGCTTAAACTTTTAAATCATTTCATCTTGCTACGATACCTATCCAGCTATCCTTTAATGATTTCACTCGCCTGGAATAATGGACCGTGTGATCACTCACGAAGCTAACAGCCTATCCCACTAATTGCCTTTAAGCGGATTTTAACGGGCGCGCGTTTCGGAGATTCTGTTGCACTCAACGTATATACATAATATAACAACAGCTCCATCTTAAAATCAAAGTTGAATGGTTGCTACAAATTACTAATTGGTAAATTAACGTTAATCAGTTTTGATTAACTTCCTCGTGCTTCCACTGAAAGTAAGAGTATCGTTCAAAGTTTAAACGTTTGCTGCTTTAATGCCTCGACGGATTTTAAATAAAGCCGCCAATTTGCAAATGAACTGTTTGCATTTATATTGAATTGTGTCTCCTAATGGAAACTCATCTCGTTGAGTGACGTTTGGTAATTGCGTTTTAATACAACATATGATGAATGCGAAATTAATTTTTAATAAGCTCGGATGGTATTAGAAATTTAATCTAAAAGTTCCCCACCGAAACTTGGCGGATGTCAATTCTTAACAACAAAATTATATGCTATCCGGTGAATGGGAAAAGCTAATAAATAAAATGGAGCATAACACACCAATATTTAAGAATCCGTGATTAATGAAGGAAGTTTGGAGGGCGGTATAGGGTTTCCATCTTGCGTTTTATTTTAAAGACGTGAAACGTATCGTGATTTGTGCTTCCTATTCCCGATTTTAATATCATCATTTTTTATACAAAGATTTGTAAAACTTTCTATATTGCAGCAATAAATCAAAGCGTATAAAACATATATCGCCGTAACATGATCGCTAGCTAATGAACCGTACCACAAGCGATTTCTTATTCTGATTCCTTAACACGGAAACTGTTACCCACTAAGAAACGTAATGGGTATTACAGACATTCATTTTGTAAGGATTATGCAAATAAATTTCATTTATAATGTCTGCTTTCGAATTCTCAATTTCTGATTAGTGGTAAGGCCTAACTTTTGGGAACAATTTCACATCGCCGATAAAGAAAACTAGGAGCAAAAGAATTACGATAAACATATTAGAAAAAAAACTCCACAACGTTTACGTTTCTTTCTCTCGTTCCCATTCTCCTTCTGAAACCAAACTGTTCCTCTCCTCCATAACTTTGTTAAGCCTTCTATTCAAAATTTTCGATAAGATCTTTGCTCGTGTGTGTCACTAGGCTGATTGTTCTAAATTCTGAACCTTTATTTGTACTTTGCTTTTTAGGTAGAGTCATCATTTCTGAACATAGAAAGTCTTCTGGCCACATATCACTTTTGTATAGATTTTATTACAAAGAAATTTCTTTGATTCCTTTTTTTGGATATATTTCAATACATCTATGGGGATATTATCCAGTGCTGCTGCTTGCTCATCCTTCATTTCTTTAATGGCTGCTATTGATGGTCTATTTTGCCCATATTTCACAGATTATATTCATTATGTTAGTATCCAGGAAATACTGAATACGACTATCGCAGTAAAATATGTAATTTAGAAGTCATACATTCTAAAACAAGTGACAAACTTAAGATTTAATATTTGAGTACCATTTTGATCTTGGAAGCTAACTTGTAGATAGTTTTAGTACATTTCTGTGTGGGCATGGATTTTAAGGACGATTATAGGTGTGGGTAAAAGACAAATAAAATAAACTGCTCTCCATTAATACGATTTTATCTTTTTAATACAAATTTGTTCTTCAGTTTTTCATTACTAACACTACTACAATTTTAGGTGTAGTTGTATTGTTTGTTTGCTTTGTTCTTGCTGGTCATATTTCCACCATGACATGTCCTATATTGTGTATTTAAACAGATAAAATTAGGAAGTCAAGACATATATTTAACTTTGTTGTAAATAATGAGTTGTAAACGTTATCACAACAAGTAGGGAGCATAAAAAATTAAAATATAAATCATGGCGTTAACAAACAAACCGTAACGTAAATCAGAAGAATTGCCTTCGTTCACGGTGAAGTGAATACCTGCTCCGAGCAGACAATATTTCATATCAGATACTGCATGCGACAGAAGAATAACCCAACCTTTTATGTAACAATCTAACAACCACTTCACTTCACAAGGTCCGTCTGGATTTTTATACAAAACCCATAAAAGGGCACACTTTACGGCCGTTTAGCGCAACTGAATTCTTTCTCGCCGAACGTCAATTATCGAAAGCAACGCGATCGATGGCATTCATTAGTTTGTGGACTCGAGCGAGCCCTTATATTGAGACGTGTAAACCGATCGTTATTGACTCTTGACCGAAACCTTCCTCCTCCATTATTCGCCATAGTGGTCGTGTATTAGGACACGTCGTACATGTTTTTCTGTAGGCTCCACCTTGGGTAATTTATGTTATGTTATGCACTACCGTAACGTATGATCATATGATGCGGATCCTACTTCTAAATTCCTATTTTATTACGATGTCGGACGTAAAAAACGCGAAATGTACCTATAGTCAAATGTAGATGGCGGTATGCCTTTTATGTATGGATAGTACACGATCGAATTTACGTCATTTTATATTACGAAGTTGTAACATAAATTTAACATGTTTATACCATAGTCAATTGCAAGAGTACCCTTTCCACAAGACAATCCATATTTTACAATCATATACAATGCCTGAAATGATCTTTTGATGATGATCCATTGTCGTTTTTCGATGTACTCGTACGTATATGCCCCCTTTAAGTAACAAACAAACGTATACGTATGTTCAACATTGTAATTAAAATAAGTTTTGAGAGGGGGACAGGACAACGGAAAAATAGATATCCTTCTAATTATTCTAGCGAAAAAAGCCTCAAAGAAAAACATCACCCTATTATTGTGCGATACTCCTTTCCTTGTTGCGCCAGAAATGCATAATGACTCTGTACCTTAGAAAAAAAGTGTATTGAGTCAATCGGTTTTTTTTACTCCAGGTCGTTTTAATGGTTTTTTAGAAGCTAATTGTTTGATCTCCTTTTTGCATTAAGGTAATATGCTCTTGTGTTTGCTTTTTAATACAGTTTCGTGTTCACCAATAATTGGGTCGCTTGCATTTAAAACAAAAAAATTTGCTACATATCTGTTATTCTTTTCCCCTGAGTGTACCACACTGAAAAGTCGTACTCAAGCATGTTTTAACTTTAACGTATACGTATACAAATACAGACCATAAAGGACAGAAAATTAAAATCAAAGTAAAGAATTTTAAAATTTCACGTAAACGAAAACATGCAAATTATATAAATTTGTACTCAAAAGATTATTTCGAGAGGTTTCAAGATCCAGTATCAGAATAGAACAAAAGACAATAGTACTTGATTCAGATATTAGGAATCTAATCTTTTCTTTGGAAGGGACCTTTTCGACTTGAACAAACTACGCACTAATATAACACGATTCTTTAATTTTGAACAAAGCACGCACTTTTACAATTTGAATTTTATTTAAACTTTATTTAGAAGCGTCCTGAGTTATTTTATGTATCTAAAAAGATGCGTCGCACTTCGAAATCTTATTACTAAACGAGTAATACGAATATCAAAATAAAAGCTTTAATCATGTTTTCCAGAAAATAATAGATCTCCCATCTATCCCACAAATACTTATATTCATCCCATCCAATTGTTGCAGTTGAATAAAGTTCATCATAGATGAGGAGGCGGGGCCATTTTGCCAAAAACTATAAGGGTTCTTCGTGGCTTAAGCGAAAAATTTGTTATAAAATGAACAATGAAAGTTAATTAAATGGATAAACAGAAATTATAGACGGGACCCAAATTCGGCGTAGATGAAAAATGACCATGAGCAATAGAAACCATACGAAAGTAATCTAATCTAGGCACTTCAATGCGTTGGTACTTGAGAACAGTATAAAAGCGAAATACAATGCCATCATCCTCACCTTTCAGCAGCAACATGTTCAGGTTTGTACTGATTGCAGCGCTCGCCGCTTTCTCCGTTGGTAAGTAAAAAAATCGTGTCAATTATGAATTAAATAACACTTGAAACACAGAGGCTATCCCGAGGAATCGTGCGGGAGTTCCTCAACTCGATGGAAGAATTGTTGGAGGCGAGGATACGCAAATTGAAGATTACCCGCATCAAATTTCGCTTCAATATTTGGACGAGCACAATTGTGGCGGCTCAATCATTGCCCGCAATCTCATTTTGACTGCTGCTCACTGCACGGTTGAGTAAGTGTAATCGAACTCGCTACTTTTTTGTAGTATCGTAAACGTTTCAGCTTCGGTATCACTTTTCTAAGCGTCCGTTATGGTAGTAGCATAATGGATAAAGGTGGTGTGGTACTTAAAGTTGCCCAAAAATTCGATCATCCCAGTTACGATGCAGTCACCACTGATTACGATGTTTCAATCCTCAAACTGGCCGGAAAAATTGAGCTGTCATCCAAGGCTCAGATTGTAAAATTGGTTCCATCTTATACCCCAGAAGGAGGTAGAGCCGCGTTTGTAACCGGTTGGGGTGCCCTTTACTCCGATGGTCCATCACCTCAACAATTGCAAGTTGCCCAAGTCTTCGAGGAAGATAGAGAAGTCTGCGGAAAGGCATATCGCGGTAAAATCACCGAAAGAATGATCTGTTTCAAGGCTGCCGGTAAAGATTCTTGCCAGGTAATTAGACAATTTTGCCAGATTAAGCACTCAAAAACACTTACTTCTTGCAGGGAGATTCAGGTGGCCCACTCGTCTCAGGAGGTGCCCAAATTGGTGTCGTTTCTTGGGGACACGGATGTGCTGACGCAAGATATCCCGGTATATACTCACACATTAACAACGCTCAACTGAGGAGATACATCGTGAACCATATCGATTTGTATGCCACAAATTGAGCTTGAAGTGGAACATTGGATATTGCTTTGAGCAAACTGCATTTTAACTATTTTAAGATGCAATTAGAAATAAATCCACTCATAATGCGGGTTCTTAATTTCTCCCCATAACTAACCATATGAGACTATCCGAAGTGAAGGTGTTTCCGTAGCATGGTTACGCTTACAATTATTATAATTTTCGTTATTTTGCCAAAAATTTGAAGGTTATTTCAGGTGTGGCAAACAAGAGCTCGATTTTATGGCACGATTGAGATTTAATCAGTTTCATAATGTCATGGATAATGGTTCAACGTTCCAATGCAATTGCCACTATCGATTTCTTACCATAGACGCGCCATAGATTCAATGATCAAGTTTATTTTATTACCAAGACCGAAAATGATCGTTTTTAGCAACAATAGTTATTTTTACAGCTAGTTTTGAAAATGAAACTTCACCCTCATTAATAAAACTGCAAATTCACGAGAAAAGGACACTTTTAAAACGCGTTGTACACGAAATTTTTTACAAGGTGATCCGTATTTGGGTAATATCATTGACATTCGCGATTTACTGTAACTGGACTAAACGCCATGGAAACGCATAGTAAAAATCGTGAAGAAAGTACCAATTTCCATACGATTTTTTGACAAAAAAACAAAGTTGATGATTCTTTTCAGGATATCTCCGATAGTAGTCGGAATTTTTTGTAAGACATTCTTATTGTATTCCTTCCAGTTCATCCCATTCCTTCCACCCCCACACCTCCGCTCCGTACATAAGTACCCCTCTCGCCATTGCACCGAACAGATATTTTCTTGTTCTGAAATTGTATTTGAAACCCATGTCTCCTATTCCACAGACCTATCTGATCGTCACCACCCCCTTGCTCCTTAGTTCTATAAATATTTAATTTCTCTAACCTCTTCCATTCTTTCCTTCCTTCATTTCCATTCTATCATAAATAAAATAAATAATTTTTCCCTATATCCGTATAAATGAGGCACTCACTAAATTCTTTGATTAGATTTCAGGATTGTACCCAAAATTTCATAGCCGCACTTCTTATATTAAATAATTCCATTACTCTGCCTTATGGCATTTGAACATGTAAATCGCGCCCCATAACCAATAAATCTCGCGTTTTCCCTCGAAATAAACCGAAGAAAGTGAACTTGCTAAGACCATCACCTCAATCCTTCTCGGCAACATCTTTTTATAGGAATTCCCGCAGTAAATCCGGGGTAATTGCAGGTAAAAGTAGATTTCTCCACGAAGGAATAAAGGATGGTAGGCATGTAATAAAACAACTCAAGTTTTCGATCTTACGTAACAAATTATTGTTGGAGAATTCAGCACCGCTATTTACCTTATATTACGTTACTTACGGTGCCGTGATCAAACGCCGGTAGTTTCGTGGTTTATACTCCATGGCAACAATACACCACCTCCAATTTCGTACATAATGTATAAATGGAGAGATTCTAACTGAAACTAATTTGTTTCGCTAGCAAGCAATGGTTGTATTCCTTTTTTTTAACTTCCTAATGGCATCGGGTTTATTCACTTTATAATTACGACACGATCATTTTAGAAAATGCAAATTACATTCGTGTTTTATTGGATTTGACGTACACATAAAACTGGAAACGAAAGCGAATGGCCATATGTAAAACTGGAATTGAAAAGTGAATTATAAATGCAAAATTGTAACAAGTGGTCCCTGTAGCAATTCCAAATAACGCAATAAACACGAATATACGTGTAATTATGAATTTACATTTCACGTAACAAAGAACCCCCAAATGGTAGCGTGATGTTTATTTAAATTTATAATATGACAACCGGTAAGCCGCAAACGTCACAATCAGCACTAACAACTCTTCAACTATTAAAATAGTGTCAGTTGTGGTCGCCGCCATGTAACCAGGTTCATTTATTTTCTGACGAACACTTTCAGCCGTGACACATTACAGAGCGTCAGATGAAAGGAAATAATAGGGGCAATTATAAAGTAGTAACGTCTTTTGAAGTTGAAGATGAACTACTATTTTTGCAATTAAGTTGTAAATGAGGAGTTTCGTCTCGCACTGTTGGGCGTTCAAATGAAACTAAAACACTAAATCGACCTGAAAGGATTAGGTTAATTATACACCGGCTACTAATTAGCGAATATTACAATTGTAAATTTAGAGCCATAAATTTTTTGTACAGGCAATTCGGTTCGATGCAATATTTTAATTTTGTAAGTGCATTTAAAGCGATAAAGCTTTCGTTTGTTGTTGGAGATCAAACGAACTTTGGTCTGCTCGACAAATGCGATCCCAGAGTATTATGCTGCAAGCTCACGCAACAATACAAATGCAATTCTCTGCATTCGTAAAAGAATTTTTAATTATTTTAATGCGGGTAAAGTTAAAAGTCCGTGTCTCTCCAAGGCACGGATAAAATACATCCACAAAGTGTGCGAAAATTGCAGCATATTAAAAATGGAGACATTTTCCATTTTACAATTCAGGTAAAAGAAAGGTTTCGCCTATTAGCTTCATTTTTAGTATTTTTTGTTCTTTCTGCTCTTTTTTTTCGTACCCCCCTCATCCAGAACCTCTGTAATTTCCACCTCCATATAGATCCATAACATTTATACTATGTCCTCTTCTTTCTCTCCACATATTATACATTCTGTTTCTTCGCCTAGTCTTCATTTCTCCTTCCCTCTCTCCTCATTTCCACATCTGAATCTCGCCATTATTTCAATATTTTTTATTTCCTCCCTTAAATAATAAATATTCTGGTAACCACTCTCTTATTAGATCTTGTATCTACTGTTGTAGTATTTGTGCAACCAGATCCCTTTTTGCCAGCTCATTTTCCACCTTCTCTATTACTTCTCTCCTCCTTGCGACTCAGCTCGTCTGTATTGCATCTTCCTCTAATGCAAATATATCTGAAAATTTTTCACATAAACCTTTAAGTTTGCCCAAATTAGAATTGTTATTGTTTGCGATAATTTCGACCAAAGTTTCTCTTTTCTATTGGATGTGTCTTCACCAAAATAATAAATATCAAATTTGGATATATCTTCTGTAATTAACTTTATATTATTATTTAAAATTACGGGTTTATTAGTGATATTTAGAATTCTCGAAATTGGATTTTTAGATGAAGTAGTTCTCGCAATAAAAACACCTGGAGCTAATTCTTGTGATTCTATAACTTTATCAGGACCTTTAAGATCTAAATAATTCACATCTGGATGGAATTACTATTGCATCCTGATCTGGACCTTGATGTATCGGGAAGCTAACTATGGAAATTTTATTGTAAAAATCATTGTTTCATAATCAAAGTTGCCTTAATATTACTTTATAAAATCTTTACCCAAAATTCCGCCCGCTGTGGTTGCGAAAGCTTGAGAATTAACTGAAAGTGGTGAGATTATTGAACCAATTGATATAACAGTGTTCTCTGTTATTCCTGTTATATTTACGTAATTTTCCTTAACTGAATTATTATCCGTTATAAATCCAGTTTTAATAAGTAATATATCTGCCTGAGTATCTACTAGAAAACTTAAATTCGAATGAGATTGCAAACAAAAAAATTCAACCCCTTTAGAAAGCTTACACTACTGTAATTTTTCAACCCTTCCTCCGTACTGCCACGCTCTTATCTTTGGTCCATTATCACCACCCCTTTTTCGGTTTTTTTTCGGGGGTCGATTTAGGCATATTTTATACCGGAGGAGACCGCATACCCACATAGCAGACCTATATACATTCCTATACCATGTACATTCCACGTGGGATATTGTATATCCATAGGATGTGGAAAAGTATGTCGCAAATGTCCGATGCATGTGCATGGGATATAAGTTTGGCAGACTTCACATAATACATAGTATATACGTTTTGGATGTCTTATATATATATGCATGTATATGCATCAGACATGCTATGTATATTGGTATACTGTCAACTGGATATATCATGAAGATTCCTGTAATATGCAAAAGATGTTCAATAGGATATTCTATGTATGTTGTATACATTCAGAATGGATGTTCTATAGAGATTCCTCTAACATTCGGGAAGTTTACTAGCGTCCATACCAGAGCTGGGCAGTATTCGATTTTGTAAATACTTTTTAGTATTCAAATCTTTTAAAGTATTCAAATACTTTGTCATTAAATACTTTTATGGAAGCAGTATTTGTAACTCAAATACTTTCACAAATATTTAGACAATTTCAAAAGAAAATTCAAAGGGCTGTAACTTTTGAACTAGTAGCCCAATCTTGGAACTGTTTGAAATTATGGATTCTACAGGTTACATTCTATAAGAAAATTTTTTCCGGGTCGTTCAGAGACAATTTTTTTTTCGGGCCTCAAAAAAGGCAGTGTACCTATCCTTTTTTACCAAAAATCGACTGCACCAAAATTTCTCGGGAAAACACTTTTTCTTATTAATTTTGGTGCGTAGAATCCAAAACAATTCGTACTTTTTCGATTAGACTTCTAAATCAAAAGTTATGGACTAGAAACCAATTTCGAAAGAAAATTCAAAGGGCTGTAGTGTTAGACACTGATTCGCTAAATTTGCGGTTTATATTTATTTAAAATAGTGAATAAAACCTAACCAAAACCAATAAACTTGGAAAGATTTCGATTGTAACTTATGTCCAAATTTCTTGTATTAACGAACTAAGGTCGTGAATAGTTAATTAAATTGTTTAAAGTTGCACGCGAGAGAAGTTCATTTTAGCTCGCTTTTATTGCAGCACTATTTTGCATTTTGTTTAACGAGAGCTTTGTTTGTTTTTAGTTCGTAACCTGCTGTTATTATTTTAGGTGTCTACAAAATTTATAAAGAACTCTCCCTCAAACTGCGAATATAATCTTCGGTAACTTCATTGGGGGTACTCTTAAGTGCTTTTCCTTATAAATATTCAGATATGGAAATTATCACATTTATTATTTATTGACGCTTCTAAGTAGCGAGGTGCGAATTTAATATTCATAATTGCAAATTATAGAGAACTGGAGAAAATTTAGCACACCTTCCGAATTACGCTGGAGATCTGTTAGTAGGTGTGTGTAGCCCACGCA